AGAAAGGAAAAAGAAGAACCTTTTAGTGGCATGAGGTAACTGTATTTTACAGAGTGTAAACATGTAGATGTTAATGTAAAAAAGTAACAGCATGACCCACAAAACTCAAAAAGCATCCCTTTACCTTGCAGCACATTAGCTCAAAAACATAATTCTGTCACTAGGGGTCAGTATTAAAACATATTACATCTACACAATATAACCAGCATTCTATTGTTGATTTCCTCCTTCAGAAAAACAAACTTATGTGATAAATAAATATTAAACCACAAAAAAAGACAGAACCTACAGTGGATCATCACATTTTTATGCTATTAAATGTAGTTCTTGTTCTAGAAATTTGTGCTCCTGCTCCCATAAATTAACACATATATTCACACAAATGTATTACCATACATAACATTGGAACTTTAATATTTATGTGAATTAGGTTCTGTCTACAGTCTTGAAGGAGAAAAACCTATTACTAAGTTTCCCATTTTCTAATAGAGAAGATTACTACCTAGTGATTTTAATACCTAATGGTAGTAATCACTACCTAATAATAACAATATTTGGAATGTAAGAAAAACTGGATATTCTTCAAATTTATTACCTGACAGCCATACTTGTTTTATGAACAATTAAAAAAAAATAAAAATCTGTTGTGTACTGAAAATTTCAGTTTAAAAAAGTAAGACACTCTCACTACAGGTGAAACAGACTGAAGATGTATTTTGAGTCATTTGATGAGTGTATGAATTTCAGTTTGGAATAATAGCTATAACACCCACTGAAGTCAAGGGAACAACTCACTTTCTCCTCAACGGGCACTGTCCATAACCAATGAGTTCCCAACCTCTCCTCCTATCCCAAACTAATCTCAAATCTTGACAATCTTGATACATTAGAGAAAGCATACGTTCAGATTCTGCACTAATGCCTAGAACTGCCTATATGGATATAACCTTTGCAAATTCAGATAGGTTCTCTGTTCCTGTGAAGGATTTAAGAATCAGAAAATTAAATAATATAAATCTTGCTGATTTTGTAAATTTTGGGATGATACTTTAGTATCTTGAATCCAGACATTAAACAGAATTCTGTCACATGATACTCATTATAAACCCCAGGAGAAATATTCTGTCATAAGTCTGTCACATACCACAACTTCCTGCAGCCCTTGGTACAGAGGAAGAAAAAACATCCTTTTCCTTCTTCCCCCAGACCAAATTCTAACTGAATGCTATAAATTTTGCACTTAAAATAAACAATTTAGGACAAATATTTTCGAGGCTATTAATTAGTTTTCACATCAAGTCCAAAGTTCTAAATTCCAGAGCATATGTTTTCCTTTAGTGGCAAATCCATTAGATGCCCAGAATTCAGACACTGCCAGATTTATGAAGGCAGCTATTAGAAATGGCATTTGTGCTACAACAATACTGAAGAAAAGACCTGGTCAAATTAATGTCTGACTAACTGGTATACGTGAGAGCATATTTCTATGTGCTACTTCTAATATTGCACTTATATTTAACATGATTACCTCATCCTAAATACATGAAAAGTGAAAATAGTTGATTACACTTTAAATGAGAAAAAATAGGCAGAGCCTGAGGTAAGTCATTTGTTCAAGGATTAGATGCGTGGCACAGAATCACTTATTTTCCTGCCCAACAGATGACGCTGCTGATTCTTTGTTCGTGCGCAATTGTTCCATTTGTGCCTCACATCCATTACTGAGGTAACTGCGCCCACACTGCCTGATGCCTGGACACAGCAAAGCCAGAGAGCTTCAGAGATCCTTTAAATGGCATTCTCCTGTCCAAATAACTGTATACAGTTTTAATAAAGCAAGTTATTGCTCTGGATTTAAAAAAAGTGTGATAGAAAAGATGGATGCAAATACCCAGCTGAACAAAATTCTCTTTTTTTTCCAGAAGCAGACCACAAAAACAAATTCTGACATATACATCAAGGATAACCTTGGAGCTATGCACACATAGTAACATAACATGTTAGAAAAAGCACATGAAATTTTAAACTGCAATGTACTTTGTAATCTTATTTTTACTGAGTCTAATTATTAACAAGTTTACAAGGATTTATCATTCATATTGATCAGCATTAAAACTCTGTCCTTATGGCAAAATTCTTATAAAAGCAGGGTGAAGGTGTCAGTCTTTAAACTAATGAGGTATTTGACCACTGTATTTTTTCCTATGTGCTAATGAAGTGGGACACAACATCAGCTCTACAGCAAAAAACTTAAATATTGAAATATTTTAGAAGTTATTTATATTATTTGCTCTGTGTTCTGGTAGAGATCCTATTGAAAATCCATGTTCTGCAGTAAACCTGAAAACTCAAACCACTTATACACAGTCCTCTTCTGCTCTAGATTTTTGGTTAAAATACTGTGGGAAGCAGAGTCATTCATTAATTTATTTATTTTTGCCAAATCGTGGTTGCTTGAGGACTTGTGACAAGCTGGTCTCTGTCCTGTTTATCGTGAACAGGTGTTCTAATTACCAAACCTCCACCATATTTGACACCTTTATTAGCTGTCTCAGTTGAGAAACAAAGGATTGATTGGGTAGGGGTATAGAACTAGCCTTTCATTGCTGTGGGGAAGCACCTAAAGGTCAAGGTCAATATACATTAGTGGGGGGTAGTGTTGCCCATTGCCTATACTGTTCTTGTGCTATTAATCAATGGAAGACTTTATCTTTCTGAGCTACCTATGGTGGGAGTTTTAATTACACAATTGCTTTAAATTGTATTTTTTTCTGTGTTATATGAAAAGCTGGCAGCACTTTGATATTCCTAACAAGAACAACAAATCTCCAGAAAAAATAGGAATGGCTTGTATTCATTTTATATCCTCAAATATATACTGTACCAAATAAAAGGGCAAGGTACACATCCTTCAATCAATATAACATAGAAAAATGCTCATGTAATGAAATACAGCAGAACACATGCATATGAGTACAACAAAGTTGAATATTTGACTGGCCAGTAAAAAGTGAAAGCACTTAGAGCAAATAGTCTTCCCCTTCACTGGACCCATTTTGTTATTGCCACATAAGGTCCACCTACTGCCACTGCCTTTCTGATTTTATATTCCTGGAGGGTTTTTAACAAGAATCTAATACATAACTGATAAAAAGGCACTAGTGTCATCAGTTTCATTTGAGATCAGAATATTGTCAACATAATCACACGGGCAAGTTACATTATTATAAAAGTGCATCAGCATCTTCATTATTTATACACTTATTTTTAGTGGTCTACAGGACATACAAATGAAACATTCTAGTATGAAATATGATTATGGTAACTCAATCTGGAATGAATTTTCTCCAAACTATTTTTTTTCCTATTATGCGAACGTAAAATAAATATGGGCCTGATAGTCAGTCAGCGAGCTGGAACTATACCAATTTGTATCAGCTAAGGGTTCAACACTATATATTCATTTATAGATCCTAGTCACACTCAGACCCTTCTATGACTTATTAATGGTTTTGATTTAGAAATGAAGCTTTGAAGTAATTATATAGTCACATGGAATTCATCCAATATACATATTTAATGTAAATTATTGCTTCCTGATTTTCACAGAAGACCTCTGATTAGATTATCTGGTGCTCCCACATTGTACTTGAAGCTGGATTGCGAGGAGAGAGAAGTGTATGTAAGCCACCTTTACAATTTCCTGACTCTACCCAGAAAGAAACAAATACGGACTTCATTATAACGCAGAGGAACAGAGACAGCTATTTCCCTGCCTGAGGTCTCAGAGAATTGTTCCAGCAGTTGAGTTAAACAATGTCCTGACTATCTCCTTAGCAAAAGAAATGGAGTGAGTTGGCATAAGCTGCTATACCAACTCAAAACTCTCCAGAGATCTCCTATTCACAATGTGAAACCTCAAAGGGCTTGCACTACGAAAACCAGCTGTAGTGGAGCTGAAAGTTTGACCTCTGGACTCCAGCACTGTGCTCGTTTTATGTGTGTGTGAATCCCACTGACACTAACTGAAGAGTCCAGCACATGAGGAGAGCAGAATATCAGACAAAAAAAAATGTACTATGTGAATCTATGAACAGAGTATTATTCTCTTGTGTCAAATTATTGCTCCATCTGGTAACATTAAGTGAATACTAGTGACTATTAGAGCTGAATCAAGAAATTGAAACAATTTATTTTGTGAACTATTTTACTTTTTCACTTCAAAGAATGCCTGTGACTTGATTATGACTTCTTTAAGTATATTCCAGGAAACTTTTAAGGATTTTTTGTTTGTTTGTTTGTAAGTTACATGTGATTGCTTGTATACGTCACATGCTCTGTTACTCGTCCCTGAACAGGACCATCTAATAGAGTCAACATAAAAGAATGCTGCAGCTGACAGTAGAATTTAGTTGATACAATTCTTCTGGAACATATAACAAGCTAATCATTGTTACCTTTGTTAGAAATTTTGGATTCTGAAGGTACACTTCTTCCAGAGAATGCACTATAAGCATTCTCTATTGCTTGGAAAATAATAGAAAAAAAAGGAAGAGCAAAAAAATGCCAATATTCAGGAGATCGATCTCCCTCAAAGAATGAATTTAGATCAGTCAAAAAGGTTTTATGAACCATCAAGTTTTAAAATATATCAATGATTTTGGATTTCAAAAAAGAACTCCCCATCAAATGCTTTAGATTATAAGGCATATTTCGTTCATATGTTCTCCTCAAAACATGATTTATACCTCTGCATTCATTACATCTGCTTCATAGCTTTCCTTGATGAAGCTAACGTTACTAGAGACAGCACAACTCTTGTAACACTGATGAGAACTAAGCTATTCCAGGTGACTCATAAGCACCAAAAAGTGCCTGATAATCAAATTGAAACAGACCTCACTTGTAGGATAAGGAAAAGATGAGGCATTCTTTAAAAATCAAAATATTATCACTTCAGATTAGAATTTTAAATAATAACTTCATTATTGCAGACTCACCTTGTATTTCTAGGACTGGCTGTTGTCAAATTAGTTAATGCTGTCACTGCAGCTTCTTTTACCTCTTCATTATCACTGCTTAGCAACTGTACTAGCTGGGGAATCCCTTTGAAAGAAATAATTGTATATATGAACATTTAAATAAACCATGGCAGTCTGCAAAATTGTAACATTCTCCTTATAAATAGAAAAAACCACAAATTCACATTTCATCCTTTCCCATCTAACTTACCCTGGAATCCAAGGACACATTTACTGTCTATATTATCACACATGGCAGAAATGGCTTGGGAAGCAGCAACTTTAACTTCATCATTGTTAGTATCCAAAAGGCTTAGGAGAAATTTCTCAACCTCTTCCCAATGTAAGATTTTTCGTATTTCAGCTTTAAATGAGAAATAACAATAGCATTAATCTGCATTTGTTTTCCAAATCAGTGAAAGAACATGAATTTGATTTCATTTAGTTGTTGGAAATATTTTGGTAACAGGCACCAGCCATTAAGAAATGTGCACAAAGGACGTGAGCCAAATCCCATTATAGAACATCCTGAGTTGGAAGGGACCCACAAAGATCATCCAAATCCAACTCCTGGATTAGGCTTCATTGAACTCCGAACCAAGCCCAAATAACGACTATTAAACACAGTATAAACATACATAGCCCAACAGAATGCAAAGTTTGTTCTCTGCAAGATTTTAAAACCACAGAATGCTTATAGGCTTGATGGAAACAGCTTTTCTAATGGAACAGACCATACTTACTGAGGATCATGCTGAACTTCAGTTTATGCTAACAAAGTCCAAATGCATAAAATTGAAGTAAATGTACAATTGAACTTGGTGAAATACCACCCAATGTATTAAAATAGCCAAAAAAAGTCAAGGAGCATTACAAATAAAGTTTTAAATTCTGCACAGCTTGCAGTTCTTCATTAACGCCCACTGTGCAGAGAATTTGAATTTTGTTGTCTAGCACAGTGTTCACTGCTGGCCTACACTGCACTGGCAGCAGCTGTGGAAGGACAGAGATGCTCCTTCCTCTGCACAGGTAACACACAGCACCCACAAGGTATCTCCAGACATCTGTTTGTAGATACTAATAAACTGACAAACTCCCTCAGCCCGAAACTGGTGAGATCAGAAATGCAGGGGTTTCTTACAAAGATCTCTGAAAGAAACTTTCTCATGCAGAAAGGCACTGGATAGCACAGAAACTCTACAATGATGAGAGTCAATAAACATTTAACCATAAGTGTAATTTAAACCAGACTAAATAAATGCTGCAAGTTACACCTACATAGTAGAATTTTGAAATATATTAAAGAATTTTAGGAACTGAGGAGTCAGTAGGACTTCAAAATATTTAGAAATTTTACCAGTGTTGGCTACTGTTCTAAGGGATCATTCCCTTGTTTGGATTGTCGTCCCTCAAATAAAATAAAAAAAAAATAAAGGGAAAAAATATTTTAAGTATTCTTTTAGATAAATCTGAATCCATAGTGAATGAAAGTAAAAAAATACAAGTCTGCAAAGTCAATGAAAAGCACGTTTGATCAAAAATGTAAAAAAGCAGAAATGACTCAAAGCACGGAGGTGAGACAAGTGCAGTCAATTTCTCCTCTTCAGCTCAATTTTAAACTTTTTTAGAATCCTCAGATATGCAAACAAAATCACAAAACAAAGATGCAATAAATAAAACAGAGAAGATTTTAAGTGTCAGTAGAACTTTGATCACAACCTTGATGCAATCAGCCAGCTCTCAAGAGAAGGCCTCAAATGGAATGAGAGACTATTTTGACAAATTATCAAGTATTTTGCCGGCCTGTTGCTTGTCAAGGTAGCCCATAATCCCTAATAATGACCTCTAGAGGTTCTTCATGCCTCAGTAACTTGTTTATTGTACAGCAAGTTATTTGTTTACAGATGTTCTTAAAAAAATATTTTGCTTTTAAAAGCAGCTATGATGATGCGTAATCACTTATTTTAAAGATAATGTATGCCTATATGAAATAATAATGTAAATAAATAATTTTAATGACTGAAAATAGTAATTAAAAATACTTTAAACAGAAAAAGAATTTTATAATAATGTGGAAAAAATCTTGAATTTGAACTTATGATAAAGAGTATGCATGTATATTTAGGTAGCCAGATCAATGAAAATTATTAATATTTCAATATCCAGGTGCCAGTTGTATTTAAGGGATGAACGTGTTCTGCTGTTCCTCTCTCTAATGTGCATGAGTTGTTTCCTTTATGTGCTTTACTACAGACTAGAAAGACTGCACAACTGAAAAGCATAATTTATACTGAAGTACTTCATATGTCAGTGCCAACACCATTTTTACAGTGATTAATTTCTTGACCCCTAAGTAATTTGAATACATTGATTTAACATGAAGGAAAATCAAGCACACATGACTAAAAGAGCTTGGAGTATCAGCCATTCTGTCCAGATTTTCATGCACTGACCTCATGGTGAGACAACCTTTATTTTTCAATGTATTTTCCTATTTCCCCTTCTTACCCCAAAATCATGATCTTAATTCTACTGATTACTATTTGCACTATCAGCACCTTATGGAATTATTTATACCAATTTCAAATGAGAAAAGTTAATGCTAAATAGTATCACGATCTCCCACTGATCTTGAGATAATGCAGATAAACGAAGACCTGTATTACTAAGTGCATTTGTTAATCAGGCTACAGAGCATGTTTTGTGTGCTTCCCTTTGAGCATGAGATGCATTGGGATACACAGAAAGAATGTGGAGAGCTTCAAACCAGAAGTTTGGCAGAGCAAGTGTGATCATCACTTTCTCCACATAAACCCCATAGCATTTTGTTGTTGCTGATATTTCTGGCATTGTCAGGGGAAAATCAGGCTCTCCTTAATCAACAGTCCAGATAATCCACTCATAGACATTCAATAATTTATAGCATTAGATTATATTTAGCATTCTGAAATGACTGCATTATTGGGTGGACAAGGCAGGAATCACAGTATAATTCACCACTGCAATTCTGAGCATACAAAACAAAATCATCAATAAATTAATATATTAAATTTAAAATTATGTTACAGAACAAAAAAAAATAAATTCAGGGACAAAGGCATAATGATAATGTATAGAAATATGATCCATTTTAATGCACTTAAGCAGAGCAGCATCCTAGAGATGCTATTTAAAGTTGAATATCATGTTTATACCATGTAATTTATTCTGATACTGAGAATAACTCTTAAGGGATAAATATATCTTGTAACAACAACACCAAGTTACAGGAGTCTCTTTCCAAAGGGTTGAAAGGGACATAAAACAAAACTGCTTGCTATGATCACATCTATCAGGAAAAAAAAAACCAATCCAAAACCAAATTCCATCTGTCAAAAATAATAATTTCAAAACCAGATACTGCTGTATACTCAGCTGCCAGGATTAAAAAAACAGCTAGATACATGCTCTGTCATAGCAGAAGTAGGTTTTCCATTCCAATGAAAAGCAGTATTTTTTTTCCCCAAGTATACAGGAAATGTTGGTAAATTGCAACCATGATTATCAAACCTAAAGAATTAGCTATTGCAAATTTAATGAAAAAGCCACTACAGAACTAAGAGCTGTGTTGTATTATGCTGGATTCACATAAAGGCAAGTACTAGTATAGTATACATTAGTGTTGCATTTTGGATAGGCTGTTTAGTATGCTTACAACCAAAATCTAATCAAACAAACAAAAACTGAAAATATTTCTGTTTCATTTTTGCACTTGGGCTATTTCTTATAATGGCCTTTTCTTTACACTGCAAGGCTGACTTTATTCCAGTATCTCTATGTAGCTGAAAAATTCAGTACATTTGGGGGTACATTGAGCAGCAAGTTTACTGGACTGTGTTCTCTACTGCACCAGGACAAGTTTCCTTTTGTTTAACTGGGTGTCACCTAAATTCTACAGCTTGAAACAAATATTTTAAATCTTCTTTTGATGTATTTTCCCAGCTTGCTGCATCCATACTAACTGTCATAGACTGAAGAAGAGAGCAAACCTTTATAATGAAACCTCATTGACTCCATTTGTAAAGAAGCATGACAAGAAGATGCATCTTCACTGACGGTAACATCCCATGATATAAGATCATAGCAGTACTGTAATATATTATGTGTGGTTCTTGCAACCGTGCTTTAAAAATGTGATCAGACATGCTTCTACTAACAGCTGCTAAAATATTAGGCCACAAAAACTGAAAAAAAAGTGTGAAAGAGGAAAAGAAGGCTATGCTTATTTGAAAATAAATATGATAAAGGAGTAAGATGCAGTAGAAAGCAGTAGGAGCAAATATAAATCTGCTTAGCATACAACTTACAAGCCTGTCACAGGACTATAAAAATGATACTGACAGTCCTAAGTAGCATAATAAAATAACAACACAGGAAAATACAGAAAGAAAATACTGACATAAGAAGGTCCCTTCCTATCTTTGATACCTGAACATTAATGAAAACAATTTTCAGTGACTTGCCAAGCTTCCAACAGATAATGACAAAAGCACAGAAAAACCCACAGAATACTCGGACACTGTGTATCATTTTCAATCCAAATAATTACAAATATTCAGAATATCAAACTAGGTGAGAAAAGAATCACAAAGATAGCACAGGGAGAGATGAAAGGACGTCTGAAATATGACAGAAAGGAGAGATTATTTTACCCGTGGATTAAATTATATGACATATTTTTAAAATGCACATAAAGCCACAACCACATAATTCAACCACAAGGTGCCAGAATTATGAATGAAATATTTAAATTCTACTGTCATAAAAAATCCCTTGACAGAACAAAAATATATAGTCAGAAGTACATTATTAGTTACATTGCACTTTGCTACACAACACTACTTGGCACATGTTGCAACTCAGTAGCCAATGTATGGAAGGAATTTCAAATGTAGTTTGATTAAAAGAGGATCCTTGTGGGCATAAATGATGAGCATGTTCTGCCTAATTCAGAATTCCTCGGTGAATTAAAAAAAAAGTATATAGAAAAGAACTATAGGATGAATAATTATAAAAAGATTACAATGAAACTATTTAACTCCCCTGGGAATATTAATCTGCAAGCCATTTGAAAGGTTTCCTTTCATGCTTCTGTTAAAGGAATTTGTATTTGAAATTGCCTGACATTTAGACAAGCAGTTGAATGCAAAAGGAAGTCAGCTTGCAATGAAGTCTTAACAGATAGAGGCAGAAACAGTGCCAGCAAAGGTGGCTTAAGATGGCAGTCAGCTGGCATCACTAAACAAAAGACAAAGATAATATTTTCAAAGCTCCATTTTCCTTTGAGGACAGCATTTTTCAAGAATATATTCAAACAATAAAAATAAATTAAAAATAAACTGAAGCAAAACTGTAACATTTTCAAATATATATATATAATCTCCAATTGCTGCTCTGATTGACAAGACTCATGACTGTAATTAATTCTTGCCAGTGCTTTCCTCAGCACATGTACTACCATCAACCAGAGAAGATGACCTCATTCTGGATAAAAATTTACTTCATAAACAATTTCATGGTAAAATCACCACACATGGCCATGGATTATTGAAAAGTCACATACAGTGATAAGCTGCCTTGGTAATTGCCTTTGCTGCATTCTTCTGAATATCAGGAACAGTAGAGACTTCTAAAAATGAAAGTAGTTTTTTAAGGCCTCCTGTCAGCTGAATCTGTTGCAGAATATGCACATCTTCGAGGCAATTTCCCAACACAGCAAGAGTTTCAACATGTAGATCACTGAGTTCCTAATAAAAATTAAAAACAAAAAAGCCAAAAAACAATCTTGAAATCAGGACTAATATATCTTAGGCTTTTATGTGTGTAGGATAATTGTTGTAACTTTCTTTTGGACAGTTTATATGTACTGCAAAGTTTATACATGTTGTACATATTTACAAATTCACATTTTCATATAATTCATTTGATGATGGCTTAAGATTCAACGAAATTTATAAAAAATATTAAAACCCCCAGAAGTCTTTCATTTACATCAAAGTGGGTTAGTCAGGTACTCAGAAAGGGCCTGTGATCTTAAAAACTTCACTGATACCTCTATGCATTCTACTTCTCATTGTGATACTTGAACTCAAAAAGCACTAAACTGAGTCTCATAGTAACATAAACAATGATAGGAAATTGTGTCTAAAGCCATTATATAAAGTAAACTCAATTCAAAAATTGAATAAAAAACACTTTGGGAAATGTCTTTGCTTCTTTTCTTAGTAAGCTAGATATCCTAGCTTATCCTATTTCTATCATAGTTCCCTCCAAGTAACTCTTTGTTCTTACATGTCTCTTCCATAAAATAAACAATATTTTTTATTAGTCATACAAACATCAGCACCGAGAACAAAAAAAAAAATTAAGGCAAGTAAACCGTACATTGTTTTCCAGTATCTTCAGAAGGCAATCTAATCCCTTATTTTCTCCCAGTAATATCCTGGTTTCTCTCTCTTTGCTAATTACTTCTAAGGTTTGAAGGGCCAACAACTGAATGACCGGATATTCAGATTCCAGTAGTCCCAGCAAGGGTGGAATTATATTCAGTTCACAAACTGCAGCACGGTTTTGAAAATCCTGCAGTAAAATGTTCAAAGAAAGATGTTAGTGGTAGAAAATATAACAATATATCAGTTTCTCACTTCCGTGAAAGAACATCAAAAATCAGATTTCAGACATTAAAAAATTAGTCAATACTCCAGAGCTTCCAGTTCTGCAGATTACTTTCTTTTAAACTAAGGATTTAACTGAATATAATCAAGCCCCAGGAACCTTAAATTCTAGGGATATTTTTGCATGACTGAAGTATACACTACAAAATCTGTATAAAGAAGCCTATTCACTCTTGATTTTACCATGTTTGCCTCAACATAAGTGTTTCTTTGAGAAAGTTTTTTAAATTTAGTTTCACCATTTTTATTTATATCAGTGGGAGGAAAACAGTTTTTTGCACTCTGCTCTGGTTGCCTGGTTATATCTTCTTTTGTTTTAGTAATTATTAAATGACAATTTAAAATTTCAACTTTAAACAGTGAATGTGAAGCTTAATAAAAAGACAGTAGTTGATTATATTAAAAAAGAAAATAAATAAATAAATTACAATTTGCTTTTAAATAGCCTATTGCACATGTGCAGCATGCAATTATCCTTATCAATATAAGCAAGCACCAGGTGCAGTTATCCAGATATACCCTGCAACAAAGACAGCGAGATAGTAAAAAAGGAGAAAGAGTAAAATGTGATTCTGAATAGACATGCTCTGATGCCCCAAAAGAGATAGAGTTATAAACTAAATTCATTACTGAATTGATTCGCTTAAGCCATGGGAGAGAACTGCCATACAAATGCACCATTCTTTTGCTAAGCAGCATATGGATGACATTAGTGAGAGTAGCCAACAACGAATCTATTCCTCCCAGTATGGAAAGTAGCTGTTGACAGCATTCACCTATCATTAAAAAGATGTTCAAAATTGTGCTATGGACTTGCTGGTCAAAACAAGAAACAATGCAATTGCTAGTTCTTTAATTTACAGGATAATTCCAACCTTTTGGATAGACAGATTACAACTCTCATTACTAAGATTAACATTTTTCAACTAAGAAGGCAAATTACTATTTAGTTTTGGAAATCTGAAGCTCATACTGATTTTACTTTTACTGCAGTACAGCACAAACCACTGCATTAAGTTCAACAGAATTAAAAAACAGCTACATTCATAATTAATTTAACATTCAGGGACTCAGATGCAAGGACTCAATGTTTCTAGAACATTGATGAACACTGGAGTCAAGGAAACAAATATTTGAAAATTACTAACCCCACACAAAATGTCAGGGGTGGAGGTGCAAATGCTTATCTGCCTCTGTAATTTAAGACAGCAAACAAGAGCAAACTTTACCTGTACCAAAAGGTAGATACACTCAAGTGAATTCTTCTTAACATCAGGATCAAGGCTACCTAGCAGTCTGATAAGTGGCTCTAACCCACCTTGCTCAAATATTTTTACTTTAGTAGTATATTCAACAGCCATATATGCTAGACAAAGAGTAGCAAACTCATGGATAACTACATCTTCTGTGGGGAAAAAAAAGAAACATTTTGAATAAGTTTTATTCAGCACAGAATATTTTCACTAATCCAGTAGTTTAAAGCATTATTTGAAGTCAATAAAAAATAGCTGTTAACCATACTGGATGTGCCCATAAACATCTTATTCCATCTGTACAACATAAAACACTACTCAATGAGCTACAGAGCTACCTATAAAATCATTTACCTATTTAACATGCACAAGGAAAAATCACACATTACAGGGTAGATTTTATTAAATTGTCTGATAAAATGGCAATTATAAATTAGTTCTGACTGTACTTTTGCACAAGGAATGAATACTGTAAGGTACCTTCTGGCGCTAGATGTGATATAAGTGAATTTGTGACATCCAGCTCCCTCAATAATTTCTTGACATCATCTACAATGAAGTAAACACAAATATGAAGTATTTCATTTGGCAATATTGGTTTGGTAAAGAAACAGAATCTGCTCCAAGCAAAATGTATTTATGGTTACTCCCTGAGTGACAAAAAGATGACTGGGAAAGACACATAACTAAAGTTAGACCAAGATCATAATGGGCCCAGAAAATAAGCAGAGACTTTCAAGTAGCAGATGACTTTATTTGACATTTGATACATATGAAGCTCCTCTATATTTCATTGAAACTTTATTAAAAATATTTGCATCTAGCAAGTTCTGATTAAATATTACAATATTTTAGTTGCCAAAGAAGTCATACCCCAATAGTTAAAAGTATTTGTGTTTAAAATTATCAAATTAGAAGCAATCCTTCTGTTATTTAGTTTTCAAGCCATCACTTTGCAATTTTATGCTAATGCCAGCCCACACAGCAAATGGAAAACATGAATTACACAGGTCTTACTAAAATCACAGTAAAGACATTCAGATTGCATTTTTAATGTTGTCAATGGCAAACCAGCTAAACCTCAACCCTTGGATAGAAAAATCAAGTAATATTCTTTGGGACAGACTTCACACAATCCTACAGGGCTGCGTTGTTATTATCAACATATTCAACATGTTGAAATGTAAAAAAAAAAAGGGATGAGTTTAGTTTACTTTTAAATAAAAAACTAATTAAATATAATATAAATGGGAGATATTTGTTCATTCAAATCCATGTTTGTTCAGCACCACTGATGATATGCTAATGCCAAATTAAAAGTAATCTAAGAGGGTAAGGTCCAGTGCAGCATGACAAGAAGGTAGGAGTTGATGAAAAGACTTAGAGTGTGGTTTGGATATCCTCATGGAAGACGACTGGGTAAAGCATTCACCAAATTAAGGCCAGTTTCATTACATTAATCAGATATAGGGCTATAAAGCACTATAAAATAACAGCCACTGAAACTCAACCTTACATCACTTACTCTGTATTCTGGGCCATTAATATAGGATTTTTTCACATGATCAACCTCTTGTTTTGATGACCACACACTGAAAAATAGTAAAACCTTGAGAGTCTTACGATTAGAAGCCATGATGCCAAATACCATGACAGCATTTCTGCGTACAAGTGGATCTTCATGTGAGAGGAGTTTATACAGCTGTTCCAGTGCTCCAAGACCAAGAAGTGTCACTTTGTTTTCATCACCTGGAAAGAAACTGGGTTAAAAGCCCAAGAAAAAGGCCAGCAACTTCACAGTTCTAATGAATCAAGGTAAAACCACTACCAATCTTTCACTGGACAGTAGAATCAAAGAGCAGAGGCCTGACAGGTCCTTAGGAGATCATCTAATTTACACCCTGAATAAATATGTGTCAAATAGTTTCAAGGATTAATCATATCCCAGATTAATTCACATTTTTAAAGCAAAGGACTCATCTGTCTGTTGGACACTCCACTCATTTGTTGGAGACTGCAGTGGAAGTAAAAAGGAATAGCAAATAGCAAATAGCAAATAGCAAATAGCAAAGTATAGGTGAACTGTATCAGGTGAATTATTTTATTTTCCTCTTTTTTTGCCTCCCAATTTAATTTTCCTTAAAATAACAGTCCACTAATTCTGTGGATCTTTACTATCCCTCAAGGGAAGCAACTACCAGGATTTGTATCATTAATTCCTACCTGAGATTCCTACCACCTGAGAATGAAGAGCTTTGTAGCTGAATAGGTGCTGGGCATGCACAGAACAGAGGAGTTTAGTGTGACTACAGCCTTCTGTTCCTGCCCACACAAAACACACACAAACCCCCCAGTCCTACTCCCATTCTCAGTTCCCACAACAGCTTTATAATTCATTTTCTAATGAACCATGCCTGCCCTTCCCAGCTAAAAATGAGCTATGTGAGAGGAAACTGGAGATCTATGCTAATTTTCAGGCCAAGACATTATTAAAATGGAGGAGGTATTTTTTATTGAGGGATGGGACTTAATTTACTAGCAACACTTCAAAAAAATAGATTAACTGCAATTAATTAACTGAAAACAACTCCTCTTATGCCATACTGCAAAGTTACAGTCTAGTCTTCTGGAAGATTACAGGAATACCTACCTGCAATAATTCAAAAGATTATTCTTTAAGTATAAACATAAAAGACATAAACATCTATCTTCCTGCAGTATGGAGGATTTTTCTATTTTATTTTACTGTGGACATGAGGGAAAGAGCCAGCAAGAGTTTATGGTTCATAGCTGTCTCCCAACAGTCCACAGTCTCTCTTCACATATTCAGAGTTTGATCTCATGCCCTCAGCCAAGCTTGCCATATTAAGCAGAACCTAAACATCTTTCAGAACCCAGTGACCCCTAGCCAACCATCAAAGACTTCAGCTCTTCTCTCACAACTTCAGCAGTGCGGTAATTTACATCAGCAAAATAATCAGCATATAAATGCATCATTTTTAAAGAAAACAAATTAAATGGAAATTAAAATTAAACTAGATTAATCAGAGCAAGAATACTACAAGTGTATACCAATTCGAGTGACTAATATCAAATAACATGGAATAAGTAGGAGACAACTTAGGAAATTATGTGCTACATAAATTCAAGCCTTTGTTATACAGTTGCTTGTCTCCTGAGTACCTTGAACATGATGTTTAGCTATAGATTACACAGAGACTTTTGGAAGATTTGGAATCTTGGAGACTTGTTAGAGTCCCAACTCATACAGAAATAAGCTTGATAAAGGAGGCTGAGCAGTCTCCAATGAATCACCTGCACAGAAATACCGACACAACTACTTCGTATAAAAATAACAGAAAAAAGCTAAGAAGTTCTTTTCATCAAAAACTGAAGCTTTAAATAACTACACTGGTACAGAAGTTTCAAACTGTGACATAAAAAAGAATTCTTTCCCAATGGTAGATCTGTTGCTCATAAAAAAAATATCTATGTTATATTAAAACAAGCTCTATTAAACAGTGAATATAAAATTCTCCAACAAAATGAAGAAGTTTCCTTCATGCAAATTACAAGACTTCTTTATGTACTTCTTTAACATGTACAGGTTAAACAGATATTTCAGAAAATCCCCCAAAACTTCAACAGACACCTTTGAGGAGAAAATAAAATTTCAATGCTTGGAAAGAATTATGGACTACCATCAAAATCTAAGCAATGCAAAACATTATATATATTATATATAACATTGCAGAAGGACTAACCTTTTGATGCAAATTTATATAGGGCATCACATGCTTTGGCCAAAACTTCATTTTCAGGAGAACTAAGCATTAGCACAACTGTTGCTGGTGTTTTGCTTTCAATCAATAAAGGATCAAACTAAAAACAAAACAAAACAAAAAACAAAAAACAAAAAAACAAAAAAACAAAAAAAAAAAAAAGGGAAAGAAAAGTTTCATTTATACTGACTCTTCCTGTGAGCTACAGTAGACTCCCACGTTTCATTAAAAATAAAATAAAATCTTGTTTGGTATCTACACTGGATTAGAAATATTAATGAATTGCTGTTTCCTTGTAAAAGTCCAATTTTTTAATAACAATTAGAGACTTTGTTTAAAAATTAGAAAGAATAATTGACTTCCAAATAAATATAACCATTATTTCATCACATACGAAGATTTTGGGAAAATCTTCATGCTCCCCTGCAAATCTAGAAACTTTTGAAGGTAACAAACTATGTAGTTGTTATGCATGTAAGAGCATTCTGAGACTTCAGAACCAGACATGAGAAGTTTCTTTTGAGCAGTTGCACACAGAATCCATGGACTCAGGGGGTGCACAAGGAAGAGGATTTGGTTATTCTGTGGCAATATCACTTTGTGGCTGCTTTAAAAATAAAAGCACATTTTCTGTGTCTTTGTCAACTCAGGTCACCAGCTCACCATGATCCTGTACTGGATGAAGTATTTCCAAGATATAATTCCTGCTCACCCAGCTAGAAATGATACAAAGGTTTCATTTCCATTTCTGAGCTCTTTCATGCGGAAAGAAATCTTCCAACAAATCAGACAGTTTACACCCTCTTAATAGACTCCTTAGGACTAACATCACTTGAGCATGGGAATATTCTAAAATAGCCTTTTGTTTCTTAAGAAGACTCAAGGTGTTCTGAAAATTCTACTCATTAAAAAGGTTTAAGCTTCCTTGGATTTAAAGCAATTGGTTAGTATGGAAAAACTGTCTCCAATCCTTACACTTCAGGCCTATACAGTATCTGTGTTACATACAGAAACTACTGCATACTGGAGTTATGCAGTTTCTCAAAAACAACATATTAATCTTTAAAATATAGCAAATTATAAGATCGCAATACAAATTAATTGAAAATTTATTGCAATGTATATACATATATAATTACAAATGTCAATTATTTGTTTTGCTTCATTGAAGAAACTTCTAATAGCTACATCACAGGCACATGTAAAGATCAAGGTATGAAGATACAAACAAATCAGTTGTCAAGCAAAAAAATTATGGGGAGCAAATCTTAAAAAACATTATGAGTATGCTAGAAGAAAAACGAACACAGAGAAGGATTTTTTTCTTCTCCCTTCTCTGACTTGCTCAAAAATAAGGCTAAATATGATACTAGTAATAACACTTTTAAACTCATGTTTTTTATAGGTTTTTAAATCTAAGTGACCTTCCATGAGAGAGATCACACAATTTGGCAGGCAGCAAGTTCAACATACAAGCTCCATTAAGAAGTAGCCAGCTTAATGTGCTTAACTGGTGTACCTAGCTTCTATCAAGTCTAAAATCTGAAGAAACTGTCCAATTTCATGCTTGCTGTGACAAACCAGAGGCATGGGCCAAGTTATGGAACAAAGCCCCTTTCTAAAAAAATAAAATCACCTTACTGTACCATAAGTCATTTTGCCTAATAATGACTCCGCAACAAGAATTAAATCAAATAATAGCATAGAGGTGCAAGTTACATCTTAAGGATGGGCCTAAAATTATGGAATTATTTACGGGCATTTTCTTTTTGGATTGTAATGAGGCAAAACAATTCAGCTCATTGCAGCTCATTCTACCTATGGGAGAATTTAGAGGTGACTGAAAGTCCCTTCAGCTTTTTCACACTTCTCTACTTCTGCACATTTGGGTCTTTGCATGGACAGAACATGATCCTCAGGTAAGTGCTATTATTTAAACACAGACATAGCTCCTGAGTTTGATCCACTTGGTGATGGGATAAATCTCCAAGTTTTAGAAAAGGCTGGTAGTTCTTCAGAGAAAAATAACCAATACTGATCTCAGATGAAGTTCAATAAGAAATGAAAGACAAAATAAGAGTTTTAAATCTCAGTTATTTATACATTGTTGTAATACCAAAGTCACAATTGCACTGCTCCATTTTCAGCATTTCTCATGTTTGCAAGTAATTGTATTTACCCCATAAAATTTTACTTATGCTCTCAGATATCAGCTCTGCAACCTAGAGAACTGGAGAGCCTAGTGATTTTATCTCTGTGTTCAAAAAGTCCAAGAAAAATTTGCTACATAATTTTTGAAGCCATCTGATGTATTTTAACACCCTTAATAATCTGAGACACAAGTCTCACAGTTAAAGAATCATAAAATAACTGTGCTTTTTCTTTGTTTTAAGAACACCACCTGATAATTTTATTTATCCTCCACAGTTCATCCACTATAAGAAAAAGTGAAATAAATTACACTCATTTGCCTTCCCTGTATATTCATAATTTTTTAAGTTTCTATGCTATTCCTGTTCACAGTGATTCCTTCTGGGAATGAAGAATCTATTCCCTTTATCTTTCCTAAACTAGAGGCCATCCTGTCTGTTCTTCCTGTCTTTCTTAGTTCATTCTGTTGTCTTTCTATAGCTCAGTTGTACCTTTTTGAGATGGAAACACCAGAACTGTTAATGGCATTCATACGCATGTATAAAGCATTTGCTAGTAACACGATGTTTTGTCTTTATTTTTGGAATTTGAAATTTTTCACTTATTCACTTTCTCCTGCTTAGGAACTGGATGCCATTTTTATTAAAATATCCACATTAATTCTGATACACTGGATGAATAATTCTGATACACTGTATGCAGAAAAAAAACCCCATGACTGGCAACTTCTCTCCATTATGAAATCTGAACACTAACTTGTTTTCTTACCTTTGCTTCCTATTTTATAACCAGACATTATTTTTAGAAGAGGAATTTCTTTTTGCCTGTTCATGCTTATGTCAGTGAAAAGCCTGTTCTGAAAACTTTTGAAAAAGCTAACTAACTGTATCAATCAGAACACCACTACCCACTTGCTCACTGACTCCTCCAAAGAACTTAAGTAGGTTTCATAGCCCAAACTTCCCTCTATACAGGCACTACTGATTCTTCCCCATTACTGTCATATTTATCCACAGGATTGATTCAGTTTTTTTCAAGAACTATTTCTATCAATTAACACAGCACAGAAGATAAACTTCATGTAATTATTGCTGTATTTCCTTTCAAAAATTAAATTTTCTGTGATCTGTTCTTCCAGTACCACATTTTCAGATGTTGGCTATTTTTCATTTAGCACAAGACCTGGGCAAACATTATTCCTACTTGGGCAATTTTATCACATTTATTTTAGTGATTATCACATTGCTTTGTCTTTTGACATAAAAATAAATAATTTCATTTTTCTTTCGTGCCTGCAATCACCTAATAGTGTCCCCCCTAAGAAGCTTCTTGCACCTAGTCAATTTGAAAAAGCTTTACTGCTAGTTCTTTTATTTTTGCTAGTTCTCTCCCAAAATATTTTGATGCAGGGTGGCATGGTGCTTTTACATCTCATTTAGGAGTGGAACCATTTTTTTTTTTCCCATTTGGATGAAAATCCCACATTTTGAAGGATGCATTTATCTGCTATTATTCCACTGTTTAATCATGCTGGGGTTTTTTAATGCTTTAAATTTTATTTAAGGTCAGTTTTAATCTTTCATCTCTCATAGAATCTTCAGAAGGACTACAGATATCTTTGCTTTTCCTAATCTTTTCTATTCTTAATCCCTTTTACTTTAGCTAGAAAAATAGATTAAGTAGATAACTGGAAATGCTAATTATTTCAGTTCTGTGAGCGTCTGATCTCCTCTATTAACAATAAAACTCAAGATATTCTACTGAATCACAAATAGTTGATACTAGAAGGCACCTCCAAAGACAATCTAGTCCAACTTCTCTGTTCAGAGCAGAGTGATCTAGAGCTCAGGCCTACTTCACAGTCTGATTTTGAGTATCCCCAAGGATGGAGACTCCACAAGCTCCCTGGACAACCTATGCCATGCTCCATCATTGTTACAGTAAAAGAGGATTTCTTTTTCTTGTGCTTAAATGGAAATCTCCTGCATTTCCATTTGTGCCAACTGCCTCTCATCTTTTCATGGAGTACCACTGAGAAGAGCCTGGCCTGATTTCTTTACTTCTTCCCATCAGCAATTTTTGCACAGATAAGACCCCTCCAAGCCTTCTCTCAAGACTGAGCAGTCCCAACTGGCAGTCTCTCCTCCTATGACAAATGCTCCAAGACTTTGTTCCAGTAAGGCCTTGTCTCTCTTGCACCAGAGAACGCAGAACAGAACACTGCACTCCAGGTGTGGTCTCACTCACCAACACTGTGTGAAAGGCAAGAGTCCCCCCTCTCAAGTTGCTGGCAACACTCTGCCTAATGCCCAGGATTTTGTTAGCTTTCTGTGTCCCAAGTTCACATTTCTGGTACATATCCACCAGAATCACCAGGTTCTTTCCTGTAAAGCTGCTTTCCAGCTGGCCATCACCCAGTCTGTACCGGATATTCTTCCCCCAGGTGCAGGACTTTGCCATTTCCCTTTATTGAACTTAATTAAATTCCCAATTTCCTATTTCTCAAGGAAATTGTTGAGATCCCCCTGAGTGGCTGCACAACCATCTGGACTGTCATTCACTCCTCTTAATTTCAAATCTTCTGGAAACTTGCTGGGGGTACAGTCTGTCTCATCATTCAGGTCACTGAGGAAGAGGTTGAACAGTATCTGCTCCAGGATCAACCCCTGAAGCATACACAACACCAGTGTCTGACCTCTAACAGGATCTCATGCTGCTGATCACAACCCTCTGAGCCTGTCAGCTCAGCTACCTTTTGGTTCATTTGAATTGTTTGTTTATCTTGTCTGTACTTAACCAGTTTACCTATGAGGATGTTCCAAGAGGCAGTATTAAAAGCCTCATTAAAGTCAAGTCAAACTAATATATAGGCATTAATCAAAAGAAGGTATTTCTGTGTAGACGATTTCAGGAGCTGACAGTGTCGATTCATACATGACATTTTTTTTTAACATCAGACTTGTGAATGAAGCCATTTTCAAAACTACTGAGGTATCCACAGCTTTCTTTAAGTGATAACACTTCAGTATTTTCTCTAGGGATAATCTTAGGCTCCCCTTTCAATGTCCATGACCTAGCTGATAATCAAATACTAATATTGTCTAGACCAAACTTAATGTAGATATCATGTGAAAAGTTCCTATCAATCTATGTCAAAGCTAGCATATTTTATCTGCCTGAATTACTGTCTTGGGTCATTCATATAGAGATAGAGGCTCAAAGCAATGTTTTTCCTCTTGGAGACTAGTTCTCTGAACAGAGAATAGTAAAAGACAAATTATGAAAGGCAGTGAAAACAGAGTCCTCAGGAATACTTTCTGAAACATATAAGCAGTTGCTAGGCTAAGAGATGTGTTTCCCACCTGTTCCTAGAAATCTATAAAAGATTAGTGGTCATCTGCAGTACCATATATTCTCAGAGCATTCCACATGCACAAAGGCCTTCTTTTATAACCCCTGCCTACATTATCTCTAGGCTTCTTTTCTTGGACTTGACATTTTCATAAACAGATTATCAATCACAAGATAATAGCTAATATATCTTTTATTTTGTCTGCATCTCATTTCCTGCCATCTGAAATACCCAGGTGAAATGTGAAGTTTTCAGATTTGACTTTACACAATCATTATTAACAGAATTTTCATTATGGTAAGATTTTCTTCATTAATAGTTACAATGATCTATTTTCATGTTTAATACTGTCTTGATATGTAACATTTCTCCTGCTATGACTGTCAGAATAGAAATGCTAGCCTGAAGTACAATAAGGGTAAAAAAACTAAGCCAAAAGCTGTAGATGCCATCTGGAATTCACTCTTTCCAATTCTTTCTTTTTGATAGATTTACTAACATTTTCTGTGTATTCACAGGTTACTGTAGTACCTAGTACGCTGTACCACCATTTTCTCTAGAAAGTTTAACTGTATATTTTGGATGTTGAAATTGTGGCGCTGCATCAACTGATTGTCTAGCTAGTTACTGAAGAAGTCAACTTTTATTACTTCAAGCTCATCTGTATGACTAAAATGTGATGTCATGCCTTTCAAACTTTTCCTTTGGCTGCAAATACACTTAGTTTTAATTCTTCAGACCTGTTTTAATTAGGTTTATCCACATACACCTTCTTTGTGACTCCCGGTTTTCTAGGAGTTTTCTATTGGTTTCTATTTCTATTTCTATTTCTATTTCTATTTCTATTTAATACAGATAGAAGATGAGGGTTTCTGTAATTTCCTTTCATAAGAATTTATTATTGATTGAAGGTTATGAATTATACTTGTAATATTCATCTTTCCACAGAACAGTTGGGTAAAACTGATGTCAATGGCTATGTCTCAGTGACATCATGGCTATTGGATATTACTGTCTTAATCAAAACTATTTATGCTTATTTAATACTGAAATTGCAATGTAGTTTTTGCTTATTAACTTTTCTGCGACCTTTGAAAAAGCTCTTGCAGTACTGCAACTCTTTACACACAATTCCATTGGTTTTATTTTAAAACAGTGTACTGAACTTTGAATTTAGTGGGACTCATTGAGAGAGTGGGAATTCCTCTGTGGGACTCATTAAGATCTTCATTTTCATTAACGTGGTTATTATTTGACACAGAATTTATGCTGTACTCTTTTCAATGTTCCTGTATTTCCTCTACTTCTTTCTGAAGAAAACAAAAGAAGTTTTTAACTTTAAAGAAGTTTTGAACAATTATCTTTTTGGGGGCCTCTTCATACCTTGAGAATTTATAGAAACTCTTCAAAAGTGTGCTATGGTCAGACCTTTAGCCTCCAACTTTTGAAAAAAAAATCTCACTATCACCATTATTCTATATTTGGCTTCAGCTCTTGTACTTTTCACTGTAGTTCCAAATGACAACAGAAAAGCCAAAACTGCCTCTTAAGACTGTATATATTTGCGAAAGAGACGGAGTATGTAGTACTATTCAAAATATTTGTCAAATTTTGTATTCAGTAAAATACTGCAGATCCATCTAGGTTTTTGACTCTTCATCCTTAAGGAAAGAGAATGTCTTCACAGTTGAAAAGACAGGCAGATTTCAGGTTGTTCTTCTCCTTTCTCCTTTGATTTTTACGAAGAGAAAGCTAACACTGTTCTTCAAATAAAAAGAAGCCTGGATTGTTTCATACATAACTGTTTGCAATGATTGCCAAAGACAACAATCTCCACAAAGAACTACACATGCCCAGTCACTCTGGTTTGTATGCTGTCCAAGAAAAGCAGAAACAGAGTCATCTTTAAAAGCCATTTTTAGAATAATGTGGGTAAACCAGGAGAATGAGGAACTATGTAAGGACGGTAGAGCTGGGCCTGCAATTGTGTAATGTTTATTTTATAGCACATAGCAGTTTATAAACTTACCACATCCTTGGGTGGAGGCTCTGCTTCCTTCTTTACTTTTTTACCCATTCTAAAAACAAACAAACAAACAGAAAATAAAAGCAGGCAAACAATCTCCCTTCTCTTTCAGGAACCAGTTTACTAGTGATTTAGCAAAGCTTGTAAGGCAGAGTTTCTTATTCATTTGACCCACCTAATCAGTCTTAAAATTTCTTTTGACGTGGGAATTCTATACAGAAAGAAGTCCCTCTTTCTAACATTTGTATACATTTAGTAAAATACATATGTCAACAACATACACAGCTAAAATGGTCTGAGACATCACAGGCTCAGATTGTAATGTGGTACAAATACATAGAACATATCTTTCTGTAAATTAGTTTTGTCTCCATCTATAAATCATATATGAACTTGAAAGTTCTTTTAGGGTATTTCCCCATGTTTGTCTATACATTCTATGTTGGCAAACATTCCATACAACTGCAGAACGTACAAATGAGTTCTACCTTGAAAACATTGTTCAAATACAATTTGAATTCTCTGTTCATATTTCACAGGAGACAAATTCAGGTCTGCAAGTATTAAGAAATAGTTCTGCACAGAATAAATTCCATTGATTTAAAAAAGTAACATTCATTTACACAAAGTCCAGCATGTCTTACTACTTTTTCTTTTTTGTATTAGCACACGTGCACATAACCAAGAAGACCTCCTCAGCTGCATCTAAGAGCAGCTTCTGAAGCATACGGATATAATACCTCACGTGGACCTAATTTCATGTGGCTTGCAAAACTTTAGCAGAGTCTTACAGTTAAGGTACAGACAAAAGCAAAGGGCAACATGAGCCACTAGCACTAGCTATGCACAGAACATAACCCAAGTTATGCCAAGCTTATGTTTGTTTTAACACTGTGTAAAACTGAAATGTGCACTGTTAGGACCTCTTGTTAATTCCTTGGTTAGTTCTCAAAAGGAGACCACACATTCACCCTCAACCAGAGTTTACTGAGAGCCTACCTCTGGTATAAGAGATTATTTTCTAGCGCAACATGGGCTGTAGCCTGGCTGGTTACAAAAGTCAAGGCTATTGATTGTTGTGTTCAACAAAAATTTGGAGCTTTTCTTGAATTTTCTAGGTACTGCTCCTCTACCAATCTCTACAAATAAATTGCAACACAGCACTAATGAAAGTAGTTGATAAGCACATCCCAAAAACAGATTTGAAATTTAAAACTTCATAGGAAGGTCACTAATTACAGTTTTGAGAGGAAGATCCATACAGCCAAAGATTTTTCAGCTCCAACCCGCTTTACCCTTGTGCATCTGTACACACACAGATATGAATCTCACACACACAAATTCAGTGTTTCAGAAAGCACAGCTTTGGCCAGAGACAAATTAATTTATATAAGAAAAAGCATAAGGACAAATTACTGACAGTATATTCAACAAGTGTGATGGACATGCTACCTTCTGATTTATGCTGTCATTGTACAAAGTAAGAATCATGCACACATGCAAGAATCAGATTTAGATGGACATTCAGGAAATCTGGATTATTTAAATTGTGCTAAATCCTGGTACAGAGATACAGACACTTATTCAGAATCATTCAGTTCAGCTCAATTCATTTCAGATATAAATTAAGCTGCAGTCATAAAAGGCAATTTTAATTCTGAGTGAGTTTAATTAGGTTTAAACCAACTAATTTTAAAAGTTAATTAATATAAAATTATTTATAATGTTATATAATTAATGTTCTCAGATTCAAATTATATATATTTCATCACCAAGAATAACTAAGGTTTTTTTTTAATGGCAAATATTTCTTCACTTGGTACAAATACATCCAATTTCTGAGCATATTTTTAAGAAACTTTTACATATTTCTAATTGTTCAGAAATATTTGGTTCCTTAAAAAATTTCATTAAAAAAGCAGCATGACTTGTAGCAACAAGCAGAGAGATCAGGTCAATTACTTTACCATGGGTTATGCCCCTCAGTCTATTTCTTTGTTGCAGTTACTAATCTAGATTTCAAAACATTCTGCCATCAAATGTTGGTGTAACCTTTGTTTCCATAAAGCTCTCTGGATTCAGTGGTCATTCTCTGACTTGAGGGAATGATGAACATGGAATTCTTTGGCTTACAGATAATTAAAAATGTGTCTTCTGCATTGAACTGTAATTATCACAGATAATCAATGTGTACAGGTATTGAAAAGCTGCTGACCCATAAAAGAGCGTCTTTATTCAAATCCCTTTCTCTCTCAGATAACTGTATGCTGTCTTTTTCTCAGTAGGTTTACAGTATGACCATTTCTGATTCTTAGTTCACCAATCTAAATATTTAGAATTTGGAAAACAATTGTAGCAGGGCTTAGATTTTTGTATCTATCAAATACTGGCTTAATGTCAAACTGAAAAACTTATATTAAAAATGAAAATTATTCACCAGTAATTACACATAATTAGATTAATTAATTCCTGGACAAACTGGTTGCTCATGGCTTGGATGGGTTAACACTTTGACTGGAGGAGACTCAGGGAGACCTTACTACTCTCTGCAACTGCCTGAAAGGAGGTGTACCGAGGTGGAGTCTGGTCTCTTCTTCCACATAACAAGCAATACAGCAAGAGGAAATGGCCTCAAGTTGTGCCAGGGGAGGTTTAGATTGGATATTAGGAAATATTTCTTCATCAAAAGGGTTGTCAAGCATTGGAACAGGCTGCCCGGGGATCTGCTTAAGCCACTAGTCCTGAAGATATTTAAGACATTTGGTGCTTAGGGACATGGCTTAGTAGTGGGCTGGGCAGAGTTAGGTTAACAGTTGGACTTGTTGATCTTAAAGGTCTTTTCCAAACTAAATGCTTCTATGTTTCTAAATCTTAAAGACAAAATAATATTCTCATTTGAGTAATATCCTCTACTTCAAGTCCTGCACATTTCTAGAATCATAGGAGCATGCCTTTCCTACATATGTTTTTTTGAGATTAAAGGGTTGATTGTTTTAAATCATGTAGAGGTAGAGGTAATAAAGTACTTTGACCTAACAGATGTAGCCAATACATAGCCAAGCAATCCATGAAGTTATCATTCTTTGCTACTTCCTGTCCTTCATCTGGAATTTATTGCCTCAGTGGTAGACAAACTAGCCTGCTTTACTTTCCTCCAACCCAGTTTTAGTGCAGTGGTGCAATCAGGTGTTGTCTCTCAAGCAGCAGGACAGTCATTATGTCTAACTAAATCCTCATTCCAAAACCACAATCCTCAAAGCTCTCCCTCTGCTCTGGCTATTCTTAGTGCCTTAGCTCAGTAGGCACTTCCCTGTTTCACTCTGAAATTCATTAGGACCTCCAGCTTTCCCACAGGACCAGAACCACTCTAGTGTGAGCATCCTAAATTAAACCCACATCCGGAATCTATGCATAGTGTCCATTAAACTAAAGTATCAACACTAAAGTTAATCACTTTGCTTGATAATTGATGGAGATCTAGTCAGCATATTCAATAGCTCTTAAGGCAGATTCATCCTAAAGGAGGTATCTTAGACGGAAGAGCACCTTAAAAATAACTACTTTTTCCTTGGACCAAGACCAGAGTCTGGAGTTGTTAGCTCATGTATTTACATTGATATCAAATTTTGTGAGCTAAGTTTATTACCCCATTTCTCCACATGAATTCATGTGCCAGGCTAGGTCTGGCAGACACTATCATAGCAGACTGAACTAGGAGAACCAGGCATACAAAAAAACACAGCCACCTTGTCTTTTTTGCAATGGTTGCAGGAACAGGCACATCTCCAGTAATAAATATCTCTATGACCAGAACATTCTGCCTGTGAGCGAAAAACTATTTTGCACAAGGTCACAAATGCGGATTTTTTGGTTCAAAGTGGAAGCCTCAAACTTCTTAACTATTTTATCAGGAACTGCCATCTCTGCCATGTCAAATAAAATACGGGAAATTTATTTAGTTTTTGAACGAGTTGCTGCAGACGCCTGCTCAGAGGAGCAGACTCTAAGTACTAGATCATAAGATAATGATGGCCCTGATCCCTGTACTTATTTATTTTACTGTCATGCTTTAATGTGAATAGTTGCTTCTCTCAGTGTGAATAGTTTCTTAGATTGCAAATCTGAGATACCCACTTATTTCTAGTCGCTAAACTTTTTTTTAAAAAAATGAGATGATGGCTTACAAGTGAGCTTTAACAAAGAAACAATCTATAAATTGTACTTTGAAATATGAGGAAAGCTTTCTGATTGTTCTTCTTTTGAAATAGTGAAGTCTTATAAATACTTCCTTTAACCTATTAGAGTCCTATTGTATACATTTAAAAAATATAGTATTTCCTGGGTTTAAATCAGACAATGCATTTAGAAAACACTACCTGTTCCATTTGCATCTTCTGTTTTCTAAATCCTTGAATAAAAAATACAATAAGCTAGGACCCTGCACATACTGCGAGAGCTGAGACTCTGAAGAACAGGACTAAGTCAAAGGCACAGCCAGCTGTGGAACTTACCTCTTAGTCAAGGAATCAAAGGTCTCTTCTGAGAGCAATTACCCCTGTGGAAAAGCAGTGCAAAGAGAAGGATTTAGAAATAGCTTCTAACCAGTTTTTTATTACATGATCCACTTTTCAAATTAACAGTCCAATGCTTTAAGACAGTCTCAATCCGTGTAACTAAACCTAGCCACGATTTTCAGGTTCTTACTGAAAATGATGCACAAGTGAGATTCTTTTTGCCTTACAGGTGATAATTACATGTCAATTTTGTTGAGCAAGTTTAAGTGAAGTCTAGCTGTTTATTTTTGTCTCAGAGAAACTATTTTTTTCTTGTGGTAACAGTGAAAATTGCCTATAAATCAGTCATTATCATTGATTATTTTAATTGATTTTTGTATGGACATTCTAGTACTGCTGCCTTCCAATGGAATCAAAAGATAATCATATCATCAGCATACAATCTCACTCCTTTCTTGAGTCCATAAACCAGTATGTCCTCTGTATACCAGCTTAAATATCCTCATCATTCTCAGATAGCTTCATCTTAATTAAGAGAACAATGTGGAAGAGTCTTGATACTCCTTTCATTCTCCTAAATTCTTCTTTCATCTTTTTTTCTGCTCAACTCCTTAAATATGGATCAACAGACTCCTCTTTCCCTGTGTTGTCATGACAGTGACTATTTACTACACTATTAAAAAACTTGGCTTCATATAATAAGAGAGTTAAAATGAGATAGCAGGTCCAATTTAATATTCAGTTACTACAGATACAGATAAATGTGCCATATGAAAATAATACATTATATGAGAGACCAATTAAGTCAAGGCCTTTGAATTTGCTCACTGTTTTATCTGTGTGCATGTGTATATTTGTCAAAAAAATGATGAGGAAGTTCCACCCGAATAACTTCTTTACTCTGCAGCTGATCAAGTACTGGGACAGATTGTCCAGAGAGGGTGTGGAGACTCCCTCATTGGAGAGATTCAAGAACCATCTGGATGCAATCCTGTACCATGTGCTCTGGGATGGCACTGCTTGAGCAGGGAGGTTGGACCAGATGACCACTGTGGTCTCTTCCAACCTGTCCCATTCTGTGATTCTGTGAATAAGAACAGTCTTCCACGTGGCTGATCAGTGTCCAGCCTCCAGAATGACAACAGACAAACGTTTCTGATAAATGCATGAAACTAATCCCAAAAGTCAGATTTCTTCCATCTGTTACAGGGTCCCTATTTCCCTAAAGTACCAAGGTTTAGATCTCCTAAAGTTTTTATGTTCTTCCTAACAATAGTAGCTATTTTTACTGTCCATGTAAAAGTCTAATTCTTTTACTCTTCATTCGTAGTCAGATTGCTACAGCACAGGTCCAATTGTCAAGTGTACTATATAAAGAACTACTCCTTAGATTTAAAAATATGTGAATAGTTTAAATATGTTATTCAATTCAATGCAATAATCCTTCATTCTTATATTACAACTTTAGTTAACAGATGCCTTGACGTGATCTTTTTCACCTTCTTTTATAAGTGACTGTACATTCTGATTTACCTCCTTTCTAAGCCGTCTTAATTATCTTTTTCCATATAGCTTTTCCAGACATGTATGTTTCCTGTCTCAGAGTCCCTCTGTGACTGTTAAACCCATCTCAGATATGACGTACCTAACGAGAAATAACGTAATCAATTCTAGAAGACTACTGACTTACTCAAGTGACATTGTAACTTTCAGGGTATTCTTTTTTACCCAGTTTCCTCAGTGAAGATTTTTGCTAAGTTATCCACATATGGTAAACAGTTCATTTTCTCAGTCAATCACAATTAATTTAGATTTACTACTGAGGAGTATAATGTTCCAAGTATTCCTGACAGTATCAATTATACTGCTTTCATCAACAATGAATTTTATTTGTCATGGTGTTACCTGTTCACCCAACTCCAGAAGAGCTCTCAGAAGTTTCTACAAGTTTTCTTTGGTTGTAACAAAATTATTTTAATCTCACCAGAATATTTTATTTCTCTACGTTATTGCTAATTTCTAAATTATAATGAACATATTAAATAACATCAGACCTTGGAGACCAGATCTAACCTTGGATAATCCAAACTGTGACAAGCTGAATCATGGAGGTTTTCATGTATGATTCTAAATGTCTGAGATGCATAGTGAAATCCCTTCTCCCATGACAAACAGACTAAAGAAAAACTGACTTAATCTAAACCAAATGAGAGATAGTAATTACACAACCATTATCTGAGCTATAATAGCAGGACACTTCCCATTCAGAAGGCAAAGATGGTCTAACTTAGGAAGAAGTACTAGTAAAATATTAAAGACACTCCTAAGATTGTAGCCAGCTGTGAAAATCTACATGAATTAAAATGAATGCTTCCTCCTGTCAGTTTCACAGGGACATAGGGGGAAAGGGACATTCTGAACGAGGGGATTTATCCCCCTCCCCATCACAGCCACTGCATCATGTTAATCCCACCTATCACATATATCTTAAAAACCACAGATATTTTTTCTCACCTCTCATTAAAAAGTTGTTTAAAAAAAATTGTTCAATTAGTTAAATTACTTTCTTTGCTGGCATGTATGCAAACACTCTTTATAGCACATATTTATACTATACAACATATATTTACTATATTTTACACATGCTGTATAGTACATAAATTCCACATATATTTACATATATAGAAACAGAGTACGTTTAGAATCCTAGAATGGTTTGGTTGGAAGGGCCCTTAAAGATCATCTAATTCCAACCCCACTGCCAGGGGCAAGGACACCTTCCACTAGACAAAGCTGCTCAAACCGCCATCCAACCACGCCTTGAACACTTCCAGTGATGGATCCACAACTTGTTCCAATGCCTCACCACCCTCTGAGTGACTGTCTAACATAAACCCTTTTATAGTTTAAAGCCATTCCCCCTATGCCCTATCCCTACATGCCCTCATAAAAAGTCCCTCTCCAGCTCTCTTGTGGGCCCATTTTAGGTAGAGGAAAGTGCCCTAAGGTCTCCCCAGAGCCTTCTCTTCTCCAGGCTGAAAACCACCAACTCTCTCAGCCTGATTGCATAGGACAGGTGTTCCAGCCCTCTGATCACGCCCTTCCTCTATCTGAAGGTAAACAAACGTCTCCCCCTCAGTTTTCAATTTGTCAGCCTAAAGAATTCTACTTTCCTCCAGAAAATGATTCCTTATTTCCCACATAGACTCACAGAATATTCTGAGTTGGAAGGGATCCATCAGGATCATTCGGTCCAACTCCTGGCCCTGCACAGGACCATACCCAAAAGTCGCATCCTGTGCCTGAGAGTATTGTCCAAATGCTTCTTGAACTCTATCAGGCTTGGTGCTGTGACCACTTCCCTGGGGAGCTGTTCCAGTGCCCAACCACCCTCTGGGTGACAAAACTTTTCCTAATATCCAATCTAAGTCTTCCTTGACACACCTTGATGCCATTTCCTCAGGTCCTGTCACTGGTCAGCACAGAGAAGAGATCAGTGTCTGACCCTCCACTTCTCTGTGGCAGGGGTGGTTGGGGTGGTGTTTCTCTTGGTCTCCTTCAGGCTGAACTAGAGACCTCAGCTGCTTCTCACATGGCTTCCACTCCAGACCCTTCACCATCCTCATGGCCCTCCTTTGGACATTAACAGTTTAATGTCTTTTTTATATTGTAGCACCCAGAACCACTCCCAGCACTCGAGGTAAGGCCGTTCCAGCTCAGAGCAGAGAGGGACAATTCCCTCCCTTGCCTGGCTGGCCATGCTGTGCCTGATGAGCCCCAGGACAGGGCTGGCCCTCCTGGCTGCCAGGGCACTGCAGGACCCCCAGGTCCCTTCCTGTGCATACATCCAGGGTTGTCCCATCCCTGACACTTGACCTTGTTAAATTTCACATGTCTGCTAACTACCCAGCCCTCTAAGTAGTCACAGTCTTTCTGCAGGACCTCTTTTAATTTAAATAACTACAGAAATATGTATCTAAATGCAACCAGAATGTTTAAAGACTTATCTACATAAAAAGATGTTCAAAAAAGGGGACTCGCAAACTTTCTGAAGACACATGCTGTTGACTGAAGTGTTCAGATTGCTTTAGAAAGAAGCATGTTATTCATTGAACAATGTTTCAATAAAAATTGTAAAACATTATAATTATTATATCTTATAGTAAAATTTTATAGAATAGTCAGGCTTTTAACAAATAAAAATCCTAAATGGAACACAAAATGAATGTTTAGCCTCATATCTATTTCAATTCATGATATACATATAATATATTATCTGTAATAATGTTTTTCATATATATTTATATTACATACATAACAGTTTCTGTCTATTGTAAGGATGCAAAACTGCAACCTCAATCAAAGAATTTCTCACACTGCACATACTGAAATCCTTTGTTCTTTCCTTTCTTGGTAAAAAAGTTTACCACTGCAAATATGTAGTTTATGCATATACAAGCAAAAGAGCAAGAAGACATGGTCATATGTCACCGTCTGGCTAACTAAAGTATAGTTGAAAAGTATGAAGTATTTTTCAGAAAATGAAGTTATTTTGAACAGTATAAATAGGTTCTGAAAAACAGCTGTGATGCGACATAGCAAAGGCAACAAAAGAGTTTCTGCAGGCTGTAAAGGGGACTCAATTTCAAAAAAAGACAGCAACCACAAAACACACACACACACACACATGAATTATGAGTAAAGAACACCACAACATAAGTAGAACCCCAGGAAATGAGATAAACTCTAAGTTTAGCCCTAACTTTTCCAAGACCCAGTAAGAATATAAGAATATGAAAACTGCTTCTATTAATAATTTTCTCTTCAAAGAAATGTATTGGCTGTTTCCTTTTCTGAATTTTTGCCTCAGAAAGATTATCCTCATAAGCGTTTTTTAAATCCTTTTGAAAACATGGATGACCTCTGCTGAACATCCCAGATGAATCTTCTCCTGTATTGTACAAAGTTATATTCATTCTTCTTTGTCAACACGGGAAATATCTCAGATGTGTTACTATCACGTTCATGATTTTGATGATTATGTCTGCAAGGGTTTTATTGTTTAATTTTAACTACTCATTTACCAGGTTTTATTATGCTAACAGTAAAAAAAAAAAACAAAAAAAAAAGTAAAAAAAAAATACATTTGTTGCTGTTTAAAACAAATATGCAGGCAGCAGATTTGCAAACGTAAGGACACCAGTGGACAAATAAGCCCAGGTTGGTATTCATTGTGTTAGAGGAATATTAGACAATCAGAAAATGGCAACATGATAAAAATTACAAAAGTAAAAGGAAGTTAAAAAAAAGAAATGTTGCTTCCATCAATAAATGTGAAAGTGATCTTGCTCACTGTCAATGAACAATAGAAAGCAGAAGGCTTTACTTTGCATAAGTATCAGACTATCTCTTATAGATGATAATTTCAGATAACCAAAAAGATTTTAAGAGTTCTGTACTACAGACAGTGCTTCTCTACCAGCTGATCTATATTTTGCTTTGAAATTCCTGTCTACAAAAGTCCCAAAACCCTTGAAATATTAATAAATAAGGTAGGGTTTTCCCCCTAAAAGCCTAATCACCAGTTAATGTTCTTTCATGAAAAAACTTCTGTGCCCAGTTGGATTTCTTCTTATTCTTATCTCCAATCCATAGAATTTTAGATTTCATACCTTTCATGTTACTGTCACACAAAAATTCCACATCTCAATAAAGTGAGCTTTCTTTTTCTTTTTCCATATTATCTATCTAGATTTTTAAATAAAATTCTTTTTTCTCTACCATCTGAGTTTCCTTATGGCAGGTCTTTCCTTAATGCAGTTTCTTGTTTCCCAGTTTACAACTAAAAATACTGGTACAGTTATCTGCTGAATATGTCCACCCATTGCTGACAACAATTCCTAAACTCTCAGTTTATAGTATGAAATAGTGTGAGGAGCCCTCCAGTGCAGGATATTCTCTGTCTGGGTTTAAATTTTATTTAAGTTTATAGTGATACACTTCAGCTGTTACTAAACACCACAATTTTAATATAAATCTTGTGATTGTCACTGCTCTTCTTAAATGGGCAGCTACCCATACCACACAGACAGTAGGTTTTTAGTGGGCTTTTTGGTTGTGGTTGGAGGAATCTTCAAGGTATGCCTTTAAAAATTATAGAACCTTAGAATGATGGTTGGAAGGTTATCCTGAAGATCATCTAGTTCCAACCCCGCTGCCATGGGCAGGGCACACTTTCAACTAGAGCAGGTTTCTCAGAGCTCCGTCCAAACTGGCCTTGAACTCCTTCAGGGATGGGACATCCACAACTTCCCTGGGCAACTTGTGCCAGTGCCTCACCACCCTCACAGTAATTTTTTTTTTCCCCAATATCTAATCTAAACCTACTCTCTTTTAATTGAAACCCATTCCCCCTGCTCCTGCCACTACATGCCATCGTAAGTATTCTTGCTCCGTGCTTTCTCCAAGTTCTCTTCTGGTACCTGGAAGGACGATACAGCTAAAAAACCCCATTATTTTAAAACTTTAACTTACTTTGAAAGTCTACAGACACGTGGCCCTCAATTCGCTCACAAGCGCCGAGGAGCCAGACCCACCGGGAGCCGGGGCACGGCCCGAGGGCTCCGGCCGCTAACGCACCACCTGCCCGATGCCGCCCCGGCACCGCCGCGACCCGGGGGCCGTACCCGGCGATTTGTGCT